TCCAGCAGCAGAAAAACTGGAGGAACACCCCCTGCCCCGCCAACAGAAGGGATGGGCAGGGAGCACCCCGCTGTTGCTGAGCCACCACCAACATACCAGGACAGATCCAAAAGCAGTTTTTAGCACGAAGCTGTCTCTCTCCCCGTCTAAAAGAGCCTTGCCATCCTTTGTTTTGGGTTACCCTTCCTCCACTGCAAGACTCGCAGTGGATATGAAGCAATATAGTCGTGACATCTGGATTTTCTTACTGCAATAGTAATGTTTCCTCTTTAATATTAACATTCCAGAAAGGAAAATTACTTGTATTTATGCCATACATTTCCAGCTCATTCAAGAATAACACTGTCCCAAATTACCTTCTCATTATAAGCTTCCAAAAATGTAAGCATGCAAAAAAAAAGTAGTGGTTTAATTCCTAATTAATATCTACAGCTGCCATAAAGGAAATATTTTTTTAAAAGACTGAAAATACAAAAAAGATCCAAGAACCAAACTATTAAAAAAAAACAAAAAAAACAAAAAAAACCCAACAAAACACCAATATTCTTCAGATGCTTGCTCCCTGATTTAAAAAAAACCCAATCAAACAAAAAAACCTCAAGAGAATAAAATCAGCTATTCAAAAAAGTTTATTTCCCAGGTTAAACAGAGACTTTCATCTCCTCTTCAGTTTTATTTCTCCTTGCCCTTTTCTTTGCCATACACACACAAAATATCTTTCATTTGAAATTGACATCATACATGTGACTGTACAAAGAATACTGCATGTGTGTTATACAGAGATCACTGGAACTGCTGTTCCATCAAAAACAGGAAAGGGGACCAGGTGTATGCAACTCAAAACTGTCTCCCCTCCCCAAGGGAACACTGCACTGTGAGTAGGAGTGGGAAGGTCACAGTACCAAAGAAAGCACAAATGGAGATCCTGTGTTCAGTAGTCCTGACACCTTAACTCCCCTTGTACCCATCTGCACTGTTACTTGCCTCCCCAGAGATCAGATCCCCTAGGATTTTTCTGTCTTCAGCATGGAAACTTGTATCCTAAGAACACCCCTGTTTTCCTGGTTTAGAAAACAAGTTCCTTGGACAAGAACTACAAGAGGAATCAGAGGCAGAAAGGAATTCAGTGACCTGTCAGATCATGCTGCAAGCTGAAAGCAGAATCAGGATTGGAATACAAGTCCCCTCACCTCATGGCCTTCCTTTATGTTTGGGGTTATTCAAGTCCCACCAGTACCAGAGGAGCACTGAATCATCACATCACACCCAAATGCAAAGATGCAGCTGGAGCAGGGCTTTCTTCTCCATCCAAATTGTATCATTTGTAAAAAGTACTGATCAGTCCAACATGTGAATAACAACTTCAGAACTAAGAATGATTGGGAGAAGTATGTATTTTCAACTGCCACTAACATGAGACACTGAAATGTTATCATTCTATCTCCAGGAATGTCCTATTTTTTAACCCACTCCCCCACCACACCTATCTTTCCATTCCTAATACAAGACGTAAAGAAGGTGTTTGTGGGTGCTGTGATTCAAACATCTGGCCTGCATAAAAATGCTTTCTGCATCATACCCACCAACATGGTCACTTCATTCTCAACTTGTTATTTCTCCCCCCAGTGCAAATACAGATGATTTAGAGGCTCCACCTGCTCTGTCAAAAGTGCCCAGACAGCTCAGCTATATTGCTTATTGAATTGCTTTAGGCACAGCAGCCCAAACAAGAACCGTGTTACATTAAAGTATTTCATCTTTATGGAAAAATGGTTGTTGTAGGAGTCCAGTGGTTCTTTGCATATTGCATTAAATACATATATATTTTAAATAAAAATATGGACTTTTTAAAAGATTTTAACACCATACTGAATTCTAAGAAGCCTGCAAACTTCAAACACTGGAGAAAAGAAGCAAGAATGGAAAAACAGGCAAGAAACCTCCATTCAGAGAGTTCTTAAAATGTGCATAAGCAAATTAAATATTCAGTCTATTCAGCAAAATAGGAGAGCATATCAAAAGTGTTCCTGGCTAATAAAAGAGCATATTGAAAAACAGTAAACAGATATTCCTTTGGTTGCCCACAGTGTACATAAATCTTTATTTCTCACACACCACAGGCCTGTGATCAGGAGTCAGGCATCTGAACCCTCATTTGGGGTTTTAGGGAGCCATGGGGGCTTCATGCACCTCAGCTCCCAGCTCACAAGAGTCAGAAAAGGTAAACCTCCATCAAAATAAATTAATTACTGACTGCAAGACGCTTCAACGTGCTAAAAAAAATCTTAAAAACACAAGATGAGTGCTTTGAGAAACTCCACTGTCATCCACTCTGGAACAGCAACATGTCAGTGACTATAGTAGGGCAAGCAATTACTCCGTGAGATTTTTGAGGCTAATAAAACTAAAAAAAAAAAATTAAAAATCAAGAACTGTAGAATAGTTTGGGGTTTTTTTTTAAGAAATTCTCTCCCTCACAAAGAGAGCACCTTCAAAGTACAATAACTCCAGCAGCATATGGCATTTACATTTTCATCTAAATCTTTAAAGAAGCCCATTATTTCCTTAGATTTGAGAAAAGAACCCTGCTTTATTTCACCACACCAACCATAAATTATTCATTAATTCAGTTTGCTAACTCTGTAACTGAGCCCAGATGTTTCTGCTGGAGTGGCATGCCATAAGAGAAGTTAAATATAGCAAGCTGTATGCAAGGACCAGACTCTCTCTCTTCCCTCACTACAGCATGCTCAAATATTACTTGAGAGAAAACAATGAAAACATTTTAAAAATATTCTGAATATGTGAGTCTGAAATACCACAGTCTGATCACAAAATTTCATGTGAAAGAGCCCTCACACATTTCATCTGGGTATAACTGAAGTCACTGGTCCTGTCTCTGGGGAAAGGGCTGGCACTTTCACTCACCAGAGTAAACAGAAAATTTACAAGCAGAGGAACACTCCTTGCCATGCATCATTTACAAATACAAATGAAGACTTAAGTTTTTAATTATAAGAAACACTTCTGAGCCAGCTACCAAGGGCAACAACCAAGCTGATGAGGAATTGAGAGTTTCCTAAAGAATTTCTCATGGAATTGACACAGAAACCTACTGGTGAGAATTTTTAATCCATTTCAGTGCTTCAGAAAAACAACCATTTTACACTAGCAAAGATGATTAATGCTAGCATTTATAAGCCAACACTGAAAATATTTCTGTTGAACAGAATGGAAACTACCACCTTCAGCCACACATTCAGCCACTGGTATGGTTTCAAGCACTCTTCATCAACTTTCTTAAGCTACTTTGGAAGTGCCTATTTTAAACTAGGAACTGTGTCCATATGAGACTGAAAAATATGTTAAGACTAACTACTGTTAACAGAGAGCACCTTCCCATTAGCTAGCAAATAGGCAAACATACCTTGATATAAATATACAAATACTAGCCACCTTAGAACATAGTAAAACTCTGTCAGCTGTTACTAAAAACACGAATACATGACTGAAGTAGTAATTTAGCCATGGGATGGCATACCAGCAGTACCTTTAGTCTCCTCAATGTCAATAATGTGAGAAAAAATAGAGAGGTAGCACAGGTCAACAATATCAGGGCAGTAAATATTTTTTTTTTTCCTAGTCCACACTGACAGAATTTTCTTTATTAATGGTAGGTACTCAAAGTTAGCACAAAAAGCTACCACAAAGTTCTACTATGGACAATGACCTCTTCATTTTACTGTGTAGACAGATCCTTAAGGACATTTTACTTCTGCTTCAGGAATCAGTGGGAAAGCAGACAGCGAGAAGCAAACCAGAGCAAATTTTATTTAAACTAGTCACCCTGGCAGCAAGTTACAACTGAGTCCACCTCTATGAGGAAACATTTCCTCTCCAACTTCTATGGAAGAAAAGAGGTGTGCAATGCAAAACCTAGAAACTGGACCTAGTTACAGCACATGTGAGAGATGGAAGGTGACAAAGGATCTGGAGGCTCTCAGAAAATAAACACCATATGCTGCTAACAGTGGAAATCTGTGAAATCTTTGTTGGGGGGGAAGGGAAGAAAAAGGATACAGTGCAGGTGCAAAATCGCAAAAGAAATCAAAAGAGAAGCACAGAAACTATATTAAACAGCCCATCTCAAAAAACCATTTTCTAATATATGAGGAGAGCATTATAGCAAAAGAGAAAGAAATTTTAATCCCCTTTGCACTGTATAAATTTCTAAACCACTGCTGAGAAAAACATTTATTGAGGAAAAACATACCAGCACCTGGTATGTTTCCTTGTTTTTGCATAGTAAGAGAAGTTGCAGGAGAGTTTTGGTTTGGACAAGTAAATTTAGAAAGTCAAACATCAAATCTGATGCACTTTACTTGTGAAGTCTTAGCTACACATTATACATAGTTAAGAACAATTGTCTAAAGTTACTGCTTTTTGGTTGTTCTTGTTTAAGCAAAAATCAGGCCCCCAAGAAGCTGTCTGTATACCTGAATTTGTGCCTTATTATCCTTCTCCACAGATACTGTGTTTGAAAACAGGGATATAACCTTAAATTAAATTCAGCATCCAGCTAACTTTTTAAAAGGCTTATGGGAAAAGGAAGTCACTATTGAGACCTACCTGTTTGCATGACTTATTAGGCAGAAAAGAAATGTCACAGGGAGAATTCTTGGTGTTAATCTACACTGATTTCTGCTACAGTAATCTACAGCAATTTAAACAACCCAAATCTAAAAGGTCTTGAGATTCTTCTACTTTTGGAAGTCTTATCTGGCCTACTCACTTAATGTACACATATAGACTATTACATTCCAGCAGAATTACAACCAGATGGGGTTTTGCTGTAAGTTTGACTGTTTTCTTTTGTTTCGTTTTTTTAAAGACTTGTTCTTTGTTCATTTGTTCACACAGAGATAACAAACATATTCAACATTTAAAAACAGAAATAAAAAAAATTTAAAAAAAAAAAGAAATAATAAAAGAATGTTTACTTTGGTTGTGCTAAGCAGCCAGGTGCTATAATACTGCAAGTTTCATCTGTAGTCTGCAGTGCTGTAAGTTCCACCATGTTAACCATTACATCAGTCTTGTGGCCAGGAAGTTTAGGAAGCACAGAAAAAATCTTCTCTGCAAGATTGTCGCCATGATGACCAACTGCTCCTGAAGAAAATGGAGAAAACCAAAAAAGACCCAAAAACTATCAGGTGCATAACTAGGAAAACAAACAAACACAAGGAATTGAAAAGAAAATAACTACACGTTTTGGGGAGAAGGACACTGGTACTCCTAATATCAAAACCACATTTAACTTTTCAAAAAGATTTTTCTACAAAAGTAAAATTAATTTCTAGAATGTGTAAAGTTAAAAGCACTTACAAAATTTCAGAAAGATTAATTTAAAAAGCACTATTACTACTACAAGTATTACCATTAAATTAGACTTAGTTTTACAGCTGTTAGATATTCACTGATTTTACACTTAGACATGAAAAACATTTTTTTTTTGCCTAAGGAAGTTGTTAAATAATATTTGCAATGGTTATTTAAAAAGCAAGCAAATATTTGTATATACACTCACATGCATACTATACTTTTCTACATAAACTCATAGGGCTGTGCTTAAAAGGTCTATATACAAGTTGCATAAATAGCTACCCAGACAGGCCAGCCCAATATTAAAATAAACAATTACCAGTGGCAGGCCACAATCAAGATCACATCACTTTTATAGGAACTGAGGGCAGCTCAGGTGAAACAAACATAAAATAACTGAACCAACCCAAGTTACAAAGTATAAAATGTGAATTTGACTGTAGTCCAAGAGAAACTCTGAACTCCAGCTGGCATGTTTTCTTCAATTTTCCTGATTTCAAACACACATGCTTTTCTTTCCATTCATGAACTCTCAACACAGACTCTACAACCAACTTAAAAAATATTAGCACTGTGAGCCAAGTCAAAGCAGAAAAACATGAGACACGCTACAGATTAAAGTCAAGACAGAGAGACCAAAAACTATATTGCCTTTAGGCCGGGAACAAGTTGAAGGTATTTGGAGTCGACCACTTAAGCTACAGTTCAGCGACCAACACAGGGCTGGACAGCAGTGCTGAGCTTAGTTTTGCTTGTCCTAGATTTATTCACAGAAAAACGGGAACTTTTGAAGCACCACTGAGAGGCAGGAAAAAGTTCTCTCAGGATACGGTCCCACTCCATCTAAATCCATCTGCGTGGCAGCTATCTGCTCTTATGTTTTCATCATTTCCAAAGACAGAGAATATCTGTTTCAACAGCTGAATTAGCTTCACATGCTCCATAAATCCAAACAAGGCCCTTACATCAAGTACATTGCTAAGGTCAGATTATTAAGTGCTTTTGGATAGCAGAAGCAGAAGACTGTCTCCAGCAATTCTACAGCAGCCAGGTATCCAGGCTGTAAGCCATGGTTTTCCATGGTTTATCCACTTTTATGTATTGCAAAAGAAGTTGAAAAGAGAAACAAGGATGAAAAAGGAAAAGTGAAGGCAAACTCTGTGCTGGCAACACCTTTATCCACAGAAAGCAAAGAAGGCACAAGTGTCCAGCACAGGGTGGTACTGCAGTGTGGACATCTGGCCACTCAGCTTGTTTATTACCCATTTGTTTCACCAAAACCTGCAACAATTACAGAATAACAGCAACTACCTTTTCTACCATTCCCAGCCAGAGTTAGACCACTGAAATACAGATGGAATGAGCTGGGCTGTCTTTGTGACTCCCTAAGCTACCTTGTTTTCCAAAATCCCTACATTGTTCTTGCTAGATGGGTCACATGTAAGGCACACTGCAACACCTGCAAAGCTGCACAGGAAAACCAGCAATAATCTTGTGAACCTTCACCCCAGGTACTGGAAGCAACATCTGTCTCTCCACACATGCTGCATGCAAGCAACATTTAGTTAGACAAGACATTTGGTTAAACTAGAAACACCTCAAATGCAAATAAACCCACATTAATTATTGACATCCTTCCTTTCTTCTTGGCATAGGGGGAAGACTCAGAGTACTCGAGCTGCTTCCATGAACAGCCAGTGAGAGCCTCTGTGACTTTCCCACGACTACTACTTCTTGGAGGTTTCCACTGGTCCAACAGTGCTACTGGCCTTTGCCATGCCTCATCAAATCAATCACAAAACATCTAATGGAGGATTTAAAAGCCACTGTCACCCCAATCAACTGCATAAATTAACCAAGCCTGAAAAGATTGTTAAACTTCACAAGACTAGGACAAGAAATCGGAGGGAGTCACTTTCAAACTGCACTGACTTCACAGGGGTGCATGGGATTAGTTTTGATCCTCTCTACTCACCACTTCTGAGGAGAGTGAACAGACTGCTCAGCAGCTTTTCATGAGCAACAGTGTTCAAGGCACAGGTGATGGTTTTGAATTCTGCCAAAGTACAGACAGACTGAGCATTCGTGTACAACAAGCTATCTGACCACTGCAACGTAGAAGCTTTCATGACAGGCTAACATCTAGCTTTCATGATACTCTGATGTATCATGCTGGTCTAATTTCACTTTTTACATTATAACTTACAAACTGAAATAGGTGACATTTGATACAAGTTGTAGCTGACACAATTTCCAAAGTCAACCAACCAGTTCTTTAACAGCAGCTAACTACACTAACTACACCCCCTGCTTTCCCTGTGTATTTTTTACTGTACAGTTTTTAGCAAACCAATGAAACAAATCTTATTGTGTGCCACTAAATTCAGGTTCATATACAGCTTTACTTCTGAAATGCACCAGACTTTTCTTCCTTCAGTTTGCATTGTATTTGATAGCACAAGTATCATGTCCAAACCGGAGGAATAATTCAATGAAATTACCAATGAATTCTGGAGGCATTTGTTGGTAACAAACAATGGTTGCATGCAGGGATGTTAATTTTATTTATGGATACTGAGAAGAGAATCTTAAAAAAACAAATCCCGTAACTTCTCATCCTTATTCTGTGAGCTTTGATATTTCCTTCCAATGCTGCTCACTACAACTCTAATGTTATCTCCAAAAAACCCTCTCCTACTGAAGTACAAGATTCCACACTTCCCAAGTTTAAGCTAGCACCAAATATCTCTCTCCATAACTCAACAGTCTCCTTGTCAGGCAGTTCCTGTCACCCCACATCTGTTTTTTGTTTTTATTTCTTCTCGCTATCTGAGTGCATAAATAAATCCCTTCCCCATTCTCACCCCTAACCAACACTCTTCTCATAATTTCATTTTAAGATTCCTTATCCAAGTCCAATTTCCTGTAGTCCTCTGATCAATCTTCCCAACCTCAGCACAGCATTAACTGCCTGGATTCATAGCTGCTCTTCAGCACCTTGTTGATAGCTATGAACAGCAGTTGAAGGATACACGATAGCGAAATTATGGGAGGAAAAAAATATGGAGGAAAATTCAGAAACAGAGAAGGTGCAACACTGTGCCAAGTACATGCTACATGACATGTGGCGGCAATATATCAATATGGCAATATATCAATACGGCGGCCTATATCAATACACATACCTACAGAAACACTTTCATACCTACAGAAACGTGTATCTGCCTAGACAGACATAAAGATAAGAGTGACAAACAGATTCACTGGATACTTCATAGCAATCCATAAAGCTTAGTCTGAAACATGAAAACCCTTTCCTTCACACCTCAAGGTGGTACACAGCCACAGTTAAGGTTTCTAGCTTGCAGCAAAATGGAAGTGCTAGAAACAAAATTTTGGATTTCCAGCAGAGCCTTCTGCCTTACTCTTCATTTCTATGATCCACTGGGATACAAGGGTGTGTAAGCAGCCATCATGGCCATGGGATTAAACATGCTCCCAGTGTTGCCAGATGAACTGTTTGCATACCTGGTGGCTTTATATAATTACTCTTCAAACCACTAACCTGTGGAATGGAACCGCACACTGCTTATTCTGTAAGATCATGTTAAACACGAACCAAGAACAACAGGAGAGTAACCAGCTCAGTTATGTCAACTTTTCTCCTAATTAGGAAAGCAGCACCAGTTCATCGGGCAGTTAAGTATGACTTTGGGGTCACTGACCCCCCGGGACCACCACTTAACCAAACCATTTGCGCTATTTCTGCAGGAAAGGATGCACCTGGCACTAGGGGTATTGGCACAGCATTTAGGGTCATGGAAGCAGCCTGTAAGATACTTTTCCAAACAACTGGATAATGTCAGTAATGGATGCTTGAGTGCAGTGGATTTTAATCCAGGAAGCATGAAACTGACACTGGGACAAAAGATTACCATGTACATATCCCCCATAGTAATAGCTGTTTTGGAACAGAAAGGAGGACATTGGGTATCACCAGCAGAATGCTGGAACACCAAGTTTTCCTACTGGAGCAGGACGATGTGGAACTTGCAGGAACTACTGCTTTGAACCCAGCCATGTTTCCCCAAGCTTCAGGAGAAGCCCAGAGTTCTACCATCATTGCCTGGTAACCACTGAACAAGTGTATTCTAGCACACCAGATCTCAAGAACAATCCCACCCAGGACCCAGAAATAGAGCCATATACCCATGGGAGGACACGGTATAAAGTGGAATGCGGGTTCCCACTATCTGACACTCTCCCGGTGGGGTGGGTATGGGCCCTGTAGAATGACAGCCCATACCATCTGAGGATTTCTTACCAGCAAGGTCCAACGTCCTGTCCACGAAGATGACAGAGGCCTTGTTGGTGGCTGTCCTCCTCCTGTTTCTGGCTGACGCGTAGCTTGCCAGCTCAGCGGCGACGACCCTGCTAAGGGCCCCCACAGCGAAGCTCTCCTCCCGCAGACCGAGGGCGGTGAAGAGAGAGTCGAGCTCACCCACCAGGGCCCGCACCGCCGCCCGCAGCTCAGCAGGCAGCGCACCCAGCCCGACCTCTGCGGAGCCGGGGCCGCCGGGGCCGCGCAGCGGCGGGAGGAGCGCTGCCAGGGCGGGCAGCAGGCAGAGCTCCGCCGAGACGGGCGCCAGGAGCGGCGGGCCCCGCAGCAGCACCTCGGCGCAGCCGCCCTCGCCCATCCACCTCCGCAAGGTCTCCTCCAGCTCTGCCGCCCCGCCGCCCTCCGCCTCGTCGCCGCACAGCAGCACGCAGTGCCGCACGGCGCCCCGCTCCAGCACGCCGCGCACCGCGGCCGCCGCGCCGCCCCGCAGCGTCCCGCTCACCACGAACACGACGCAGGCCGCCCCCGCCGGCACCGCCGCCTCGGCGGACAGCGCGCTGACAGCCAGCGCCCCGGCCGCCAGCAGCTCGCCCGCCCCGCCGGCCCAGTGCAGCGCCTCGGCGGAGGGCGCGTCCATGAGGACGGCGGCGCGGTGCGCCCGGGCCAGCGCGGGCTCCCAGGCTCGGCGGCTCAGCTGCCGCAGCACCTCCGACACCGCCATGGCGGTGACAGCCACAACACGCCGCACGTGCCGGGCGCGCCGCCGGCGCCGCGCGATGACGTGTCGGGCGCGGGTTGGCTGCGCGCGGGCGGGGCGGGGCGCTGGCGGTCCCCGGTGGGCGCTGCGGCCGCCGGGGGTGCCCGGGCCGGTGAGGGCTCCGCGACACTGCCGGGGTGACACGGCGGGAACAGCCGCTTCACCGGCACTTCACATGATCAGCACCCGAGAGGCGAGCCTTCATCACTGCTCCCTGCCCTACTATGGCCTATTGTGTTAGTGTTAACAACTAATGCTTTGGTGAATGAGCTGGCAACACGGAGTACTCTTGCTCAGCAAATGCGGCTTTTCACTGTACAGTTAGAGACGTACGACAAATTATTTTAATTCCACTTTCCCCTTTAAAAGTCCTTGATCTCGAAATCAGTATCAAGGCTAACGAGAAAAAACGCCATAACAAGCATCCAGTCTCTTCTCCCCAGAGAATGGATGGCGCTTGCAAATGTGTGTTCCACACTACTCACCTGGGCAGCCTCCTGGTACGCAGACAGGAAGGCGCCTTTTCTGACACAGCCGGACTATCGGCATTAATAAAGAGATAAAACACTCACTGAGTTCACCCTCCAGCTTAACTGCTGTTCTTAGGTCTCTTACAGATTCAAATGGTTTCAGAACACTGAAAGACATGAGTAACACCAAATTCACTAGATTTCCAGTAATTCAATCAGATGCTTCCCTTTTAGTGTTCTGCACTGACATTGCTACTCAGATGTGTTCTTCCCTTTCTTTGTGCTGTTCTAGCACCAATCTGTTATTTTAACCTTAGGGCATATAACTTCATCATGCTAGAAAAATATGTAAGTTAATACCCTTCTGGACTATTTTGATTTGAAAAATGAACACTAAGAAGGATGGGGGATAATTAAAACTGGGCCCCTGAGTTTATAAACAAGTAGATTTATTCTCTCAGACTGAATTACCTCAGAGATTATGTATCTGAGTTTTTGCTTTCTGGTTGAGTGCCACAGACAAAATCTAGATAAATTATGGCTTGCCCAACAACTTAAAAGGGGTTCTTTACCTTTAAAACCATTCAAGAAAAGGGGCAGGGGGAGCTGATCTCTTTTAAAAGGTTAAGAGGTTTTTTACAGATGTTATTGTCAAAATATCAGATGCTTTTTTAGAAAGCTAATAGTTTTTTTCTTTATTAATACTGTATAGATTGCAACTAGTTCTGCATATGCCAGTGTTGAAAAAAAGAAAAATTACTTGCTAGAAGACAAAATGAAGTTAGTAAGTTTAAAGCACTATGGTTAAAATACAGAACAACATTACCTAAGTAGTTTTTATAGCTTATTTTATCCCTTGTGCAAGGTGACAACTACTGTGTCAGAAGACAAACTGTACTACTAAAGGGTTCCCATAAACTTGGTATCTTGTTGTACGTTTGTGAGGTGTAACCTGTGAGTGAAGATGGTGATGCAGCTTGCAAAGATGCGTTCTGTCTTCAGCCTTTCAACTATTCAAAGCCTTAGAAGAAACAGTTTTTACAGGCCACAACTGTTCAAACTGGGTTTTTCCATCACCACCAGCTCTCTGTGATTTCTCTTTAAAGGTTTATACAAGGAAATCTGCTTGCAGGATCTGCATCATAGTATTTTAAGATATTTTTTGTTCTTAGCCTACTCTTGGCTTCTACTTGTTGCATTTTCCTCAAACATGGTCTTCTTTCTTCTTTCTTTCTTTCTTCTGTGTCTGCAGCCAAAGGAAACTATTTGAATTCAGCTGTGTCATTTAATGTCAGCCAGAACTGTGTTAAAATGGCAAAGTAAACAAAACAGGAATGAAAATTCAGACACTGATGTCTATGAAGAGGTACTACATGTACACATTTGTCTTATGAGAAACAAGTGACTCAATGGTGAAAAACCATTTGCTGACTCCATGACTATTTGCATAAAAAATTAAATAGCAAGATGAAAACCTACCCAATTACACCACATAATTCATTACCTGTACACAATACTCAGACAATTTTAGGTGAAAAGAAATTTTGAGTTGGTTGGTTGTTCACATGAACCCCAGTGAAATGTCATGCCATATATGAAACTTCCAAATAATTTTCTCTATGCAGGCAATTCAAATAAGCTCCCCTCACTTAGACTCGTGTTTATGTTACAGTCAAGTCCTCTAGTCTGATTTTTCCCAAACTGACCTGCTGTGAGAAAGCAAGTCCCTGTTTTAGTTTTCACATACATCCTGAAACACCACAAGCTCCATTTGTACACACAAGTGGTTGACACTTATTTGGACAGTTGTTGGTACTTAACCTTTCTAATCCATCTTGCACTTGTCTGGCATTCACAGATGTAGAGTGAACAAATCACCAGGAAAAAGGGCTCATTACTCCCCACCACTTTAAAAACAGAATTAATGAAATTCATAGAAACATTTTGAACATAGAAACACGTTGGAACACTCACAGCACACTACGAATGTTAAACCTTTACTGTACCTAAAAACAAAGGCAGGAAATTTGTGGAGGGTAAAAAAAAAATCTATGAAGAGTTGCTAAACCTAAAATACAGCATCCAGCCGAGGGACAGCACTAGCAGAGGCAGCGGCGTGTTTACCCCGTGCTTACGCTCCCTCAGCAGCTGCCATCAGCCGCCGGTAGATGCACGGCACTGGAGTGTACGCGTGTTTAGCCAAGTCCTGCTTCTGGAGATAGGCAAGGATGTTCTCGAGGAGATCGCCATGCTGCCGGTGATCCCTGCTGAGGGGCCGGACGGGCGTCCAGGGACGCAGGAGAGCACAAGGACCGCCGAGAGCAAACGGCAGCGAGAGGAAGGGAAGGCGGCTCTCTCAGCGCGCCTCGGGAGAGCGGCGAAGGCACAGCCGCGGTGAGTGGCCGCGGAAGGACGGTGCCCGGCCGGCTCGGCGGGGCGGGCAGTCCCGGGGCCGGGCCCGGCCGGGCCGCCCCCCGCAGGCGGCGCGGCGCGGCGGGGCGGCCGGCGGAGGGAGGCGCTGCCGGGGCCGGGCCCGCGCGTCCCGCGGGAGGCAGCCATGTCTACCGGCGAGGCGGAGCGGCTGTCGGCGGACGCCGATGGGGCCGCCGGGGACGAGGAGGAGGAGTGGCTCTATGGCGGTACGGACCTTCCCCGACCCCCGTGCCCAGCCCGCCTCCCCAGCGGGCCGGCCCGGCGCCGCCGTGGAGGGGGGGCCGTGCGGGGGTGCGCAGGCCGCGCCGTGAGCCGCCTCGCCGGGCCGCTGAACCTGGTCCACCAGTCCCGCCGCCCCCGTGGCTGCTCAGCCCCCTCTGTCCTCCCGGCCAGGCCCCCGGTGGCGACGGCTCCCGGCCCCATCCCTTCCCCGGTCTCCGCTGCCGGTGCCGCGGGCCCTCAGCCCGGGCCGCGCAGGCCGAGGCGTGCTGGGCCTCAGCGGCGAGAGCCCCGCGTGTTGTCCCTGCCCCAAAGGCACCTCTGGGGGCACCGAGCTCTCCCTGATGCTCTCCTGCTCGAGTTCCCGGCGTTGAAATACTGAAAGAGGCTTAACCTTTTATGTATTAACTTTTTATACAACTTTAGGGACTATATTTATGTTCAGGTATTAATGAAACATATAAAGTAAACCTTGCCCACGAGGTGGACCTGTCAGTGCAGAGCGCTGTAATTGCTTAGGGGTCCGCTCGACTGATTCCACAACTGAAATGTTTAGAATATGTCTCAATAGTCAGTATGTCTCTGAAGACTTCCCTAATATTCTACATCCCAAGGTAATCTGTTACAGTTGATACCCTAGGGATTTTATTCTTAAATATTGTATTTCTTTTCTCTTATGGTAGATGAAAATGAAGCAGAGAGACCAGAGGAAGAAAAATCTAGGTGAGTATCCTGACAACTGAAAGCCCTGTAGCATGGCTGCACAAAACCTGTGTTCATTACATTCTTCCCAGCTCCTACCAGCCCACTCTGGTGTCTTTGAAAGTGTCCTTAACATAGTATGTTTGGACTTTGCTTTTCTTTGAAATGGCTGTACCTGTGAAATTGGGCCACTTAAGTATGAAAGTTAGTTTAATTGTATGGACAGCAATAACCACTCACAAAATGCCAACAGGTCTTTTATTTTTGTGATCATTGTGCTTTGTGGCCTTAATGATGCATCAGGACTTGTTTGAGATAATTTAGCAACCGAAAAAAACATCATGTCTCCCAAAGAGTTTGCAGTGTAGTTGCAAAAACAGGAATACAAGGAAGCAGTGGAAGATTACCAGGTAGTTTTATGTACAGATCGCATCTGCTTAGGCTTGCAGGGTTGGCATGGTTTGTTTTTTTTTCTAACCAGTAAGACAGTATTTCAAAGAAACCTGGAGAAGCTTAGGAAAGCTTTGGAAGTATTTGAGGGGAACCTGCTTGAGTTACAATGAGCTGTATGAGGGCACAAAGATGCTCCCTTGAAAATCTAACAAAGTTAATGGAGATCAGTGATGAGGACTGACTGGAAGAGGGAATCAGTCGCTTGTGCTAAATGAAGGAAATTCTCATAATTGGTAAAATACGGAAATTTATTGATTGTCAAGGTATATTAAACAAATAAAGGGAAAATCAATATGTGAAAACATACATTGTTATTTTCTATAGATGTTTCCATTTTTTCCGTGAGAACTCTTGCATTTAGTTAGCCTTGGTGGACTGCTTGTTCATAAGTGTGCTAAGTTGCTCTTTTGAACTCATGTCAAGTGACAAGCACAGAATGACAAATCAGTAATTACCTCCATCACGTGACTATATATGATATCATTGTGAAGCAGCTAGAGGTGTGATTATTTGATTCCCATTATTTCTGTAGTAAAGAAACAGAGTTGTTTTCTTTCACTTTTTCCACGTCACTTAACAGGTTTTTAGACCTGTGTTGCATTTGTCTTGAATCGCGACTCTTCCAGGTCAAATGATTCTAGTTAATTATTTGCTCTTTATTTAGAAGCTGTTCCATATCAGTTGATTCCTTATGTT